TTTTTTTTGTTTTTCAAGAATTACATCGTTTCCCGTGCATTCATTTCCGTATCTTTTTTTCACAATGATAAACATATCGTTGTGAAAAAACACGCTTCGTCCGTTCATCCCGTGGTCTTTCTCTTCTTCGAGTGCTCGAAGGCACTCGCTATTACGGTGCCGCCTTGAAACGCTCTCGTAGCATGTTAGGTAAGTATAGTAAGTGTGGCAGTAGGATGCCGAGGAACCGTTAGTCGTCGACTCCAGCTATTTTTATTATTATCATCATCGTCGTCGTTGTGCTACACTTTAGTCCGAGCGTGCTCAAAAACGCCGCTTCTCGGCTTCTCATCCGAGAAAGCACCTTATTTCTCGGTAACTTGTTAAAGCGCCCCTTAATGTAACTCATTAATCCACCTTGAATCTGAATTCGCAACGCGGTGCACGGCTTCGCGTTCGCTCTGTCTCCGATCCGAAATTTTCATCACGGACTAATTCGTTTTCCCGAAGAAAGAATTAAATCATTTGGATTTTCTCGAAACAAAGTCTCTATGGAGCCTGATTACTCGCGAAATGCTTCTACTTGAGCCTGATATCCCCGGATATTAATTAAAAAAGTTCTTTCTTTCATACGCTGAGAGAACGTTAAGAACATAAAGCTGTACTGAATCCTTTGTGGACTTGAACCGTGGTACTGCGATGCAGGAGATCGAAAATTTATTACGGGGAGAGAAAGAAAAGTTCAATTTAAAACACCATGCTTGGACGCGTCAGAAATCTTTACAACTCCCGTCGTTATTTGTCAATCGCTCCGAGACATTAGCGCAAAAGTGAGATAAATAAATCTACAATTGCCAGCATGATGCCAATAATTAAAAATCATTAAACCCCCCCCCCCCCCGCCCCCATACAGCACGCATGTCTAGAAGACATCTTTTAGACATGCGTGCTGTATGGGCCCTAATATTAAATCTAACTAAATAACAACTAAAATACGAAAGGTCCATTTTACATGAAAAACCATGTCCAGAGCTGGATGTTACAAATTGCTGTAATTTCTCGCGCTAAACCCGTCCGTCGGAAAATTGAGAGAGCGCCCACATCCAGATTAGCGAACCGCCTGACTTGCAGAGCCGTTGCTGAGAGTCGCCGGTCGATGTCCGTCCCTCGTCGAACAGAATGTGTGCCCGTCGAGGGCGCCGGCCTGCGAGAATGACTACCAGTGCCAAGGCACGCCGGAGGAACGCTGCTGCGGAACCGCGTGCGGCCTCCGCTGCGTCGCGGGCGAGCTGACCGGATGCGAACAGCTGGCGTTGGCGGCTGTGAGGAGGTCCCGGGCCCTCGGCCCCCGGGGTCCCTCGCAGTTCGTGCCGCGATGCAACAACGTGACCGGCGAGTTCGAGAGGATACAATGCGAGCCGCACGGCCGCAGCTGCTGGTGCGTCGACGAGATCGGCGCCGAGATACCTGGCACCAGGGCGTCCAGCAAGGACGTCATCGACTGCGACAAGCCCCGCAACTGCCCGGCTCACAGCTGTCGGATGCTCTGCCCCTTGGGATTCGAAGTAAAACCGAGATATAAATTCGCATTACACTTGATATACACTTGATATACACTTAACGCAAATTAAACACTATCGGTATCGAGAGTTCCTTTGTGCCAAGGTACATCTTCGTTGCTTCTCATCGTCTGTACTTGAAAATGAACCCAGCGAGAAATGGCTCGTCGATCGACATCGTTTCGACGAATCACCGTTTCACCGGGATAGGTTCTTGGGGCCCAATTCTGTACAGCGAAAATGCTAAAAGGGCCAGTCACTCTTAACATTTTTGCTACTTTGTAAGATACAGAATTGACCCCCGCGAATATTCTTCCCGTAGTTAATCGAAACAACTGATGAATTTCGCGAAGAGCTGGGTAATTTCCAACTCGTAATGTTTAATCTCCAGCGCTTAAGAGCCGTTACTCAAAAATGTACCAAGCTACAAAAAGGGGATTTCGTATACGTACTTTTAAATATAATTTTCGACTAGATGCGAGTAAAATAATAGCTGCTTTCCTTTTACATGAAAACTCAGATAAATCTCACTTGTGTGACGTCATAACTCAGTTGAATGCGTGTTCCTTTTGATTCTTGAGAAGTGAGATTCAACCAGATTTAACAGAGTTTTTGCACACGATCAAGACCGTGTGCTTT